TCGGGGGGAGCGGGGGGGGGGGGGGGGGGGGGGAGAGCGCTGGCCCCGGGCGCCCAGCGGGCGAACGGCCACGCCCCCTGGCGCCCGACAACCTCAAAAGGTTGGGGACCACTGGACTACACAAACTAAAATGCCTTAGTCTTAATTGGTGTGGTGGTACTACTTTATCGGCAATACATAATTGTAGGAACTTCTTACTAGACCAATAGTTTAGTGAAGGCACATCCCAATCTTCCTCTCTCCTCTTCATTAAAGGCCTGCTCCTGTGAGATGCTGAAGATTGGTCCTGTTACCTATGTAAATGCCACTTACCCAGTTGTGATTGGACATGGTAATGTCTTGTGTTATAGGTAGTGTGGAGGCTTGGGGGGGTTGGAGGAGCAACTAGTTTGATGAATCAATCTCTTGTCTGAAGAATCTGAGAACTAGGACCAATACTTGGTCCTAGCACTCATTTTTTTTTTTTTTTCTTCAAGTGCACTGATTACTTCTGTGTCTTCTGTTGTAAGAATGGAACAGTGAATAGTCTATAGCTGGCTTTGTTTGGAGCTAAGAATACTACTATGGTTAGTCCACACTACAGAGCCTATGGCTACATAGCTCCTGAGTGTAGACATGGCCTATGCTGACAAGTTTTTTCTGCCACTGTAGGAACACACCCTCCCTCCTCCTTCCCCACACCATGATAATTATGCTCCCCCCCACACCATGATAATTATGCTCCCCCCACACCATGATAATTATGCTAACAGAATCACTCTTCTGTCAGTACAGCTGTGTCTGTACTGGGGTATTTGTCTACATAGCTGTGTCAATTGGTGTTTTTATAGGTGTGCAAGTAGATATTTTAAATGTAAGCTAAGGCAAAGCTGACTAATTTCTAAAGGTTCCAGACTAAATGACCTGTTGCTGCAGCCCCTGATTAATGCATAGCTTTTTTCTTTTTTCCCCGGTAGCGCTGAAATAAGACAAAAATGGATGAAGTAAATGTATCCCCACGGTCTGAACTCCATGAAAGAGTCTGTCAGAAGCGGGCAGTTAGCAGCAAGTGTCCTAATGCAGGCAGACAGGTAGATGAGCTCAAGTCTAGCAGTGACCCAAGTGGCTCAGCTATTGAGGAGCGAATTCCTCTGCATCAGTTCCTTGGAAGCTGAGTAACATTATGAAGTTGTAAATCTTGTGCCTGATAGTGTTGCTGGCTGGTATACTGTTATGTCAGAACACAAACTTGTTACTCCAAAATGGTAAAACTTCTGTAGTCTGTGGGACTGAGTGTTCATGTGTGAATTTTTTTAATGTTTTAAAAATCACAAATTCCAAGAGGAAGGACATTAAGATGGAGGTACAGTTGGGTATGTCCCTCTACTTTAAGGGTAAGATGAAAATTACAGGGATGTTGCCCTTCAAATGCATGAAAGTGAGTTAGGGTTACAGTTGGCCGATTCAAACATGGTGAGATATTGGAATGCAAACTCCAAGCTCCCAAACAACCTCAACTCTATCTTGAAGTGAAACCAAAAAGGGAGAAACACAGTGGGGGGTGGAAACCCCAAATGTTGGTAAAGTTTAGTGTCCTCTAATTTGAGACCACAAATACTGAAATGTCTCCCTTTCATGATTAGTGGCCCCAACGTGTGTTCCATAATTCATCTATTTGGAATCCTATGGTTATGTGGAATCAAATTGTTCCCTTTGTTGGCTTGGGGAGTGAAGGTTGAGGGTGAATTTTTCTCTCTCCACATAATTGAGTAATTCTAAATTCTTGCTAGATCCATGAGTCTGCACTGCGAGCAAGGAACAGACGGCAAGTGGAGAAAAGGAAATTGTCTCAGAGGCGAGTGCGCTCTGCAGATGTGGACCGAACCTGGAAAGCAAAGTCTTCCCCACCAGATAATCCCTGGATGACTGAGTACATGAGATGCTACTCAGCAAGAGCTCGGTGAATCACGGCTGACTTGGAAATCTTTCTCTAACTTAAAATATTTATATTCAGTCAGGACATTGGTGCAAATTACTTATGCAAGGTTTTTATAAGGGGTTTCCAGCAGTCTGTTAATGTTTGTATTTTGGCTACCTACCTCATCTGTAGGGAATAGAGCTAGAGCCATAACATTTTTAAATATAGTTACTTACGTTTTAAATACTTCTCCTTTTTTTCTGAAGTCTTTTAAAGAGGTATTTCTAGGGACCTTTTTGACTTCAAAATACTGAAAGTCTAAGTACATTTTTACAAAATCTTTTTAAGAATTGGTTCATTTCACAAACATTCAACTGCTCCTTCCAAAAAACCAAATTTAGCTTCCAGATCAGGGGACCGTGGTGGTGTATTGGAAACTTTTCATAAGGTGCAGTGTATGTGCCATTGCATTATTTAAAATACTTGATTCAAGGCTTCAAAATACCACATAGATTACAATGTCTAACCTAGAAGCTGGTGGCTCTGGTACAAGATAATTTGAGCCACACTAAATACTGGCCTCAGGAAGACTGATGTTAGGGGTTGTTTGGTTATATACTAGAGACTTTTAAAAACTTGGTAATATTTCTCAAAACTTGAAGTAATTAGTGAATCATGCAGATATTCTTCAACTGAGTTTCATTGCTCTTTTAAAATGTGAGTGGAATAAATTTAATATCCCAATAGATGTGGCAATTTATTTTCCAAGCAAGAAGTCACAGGGTTAATTTGATTACTATGACTATTACACCAAATGACTGATGTAGACAATCATTATCTGATGGCTGTTGGTCAACACAGGTGCTTGTGCCTGTCTTGGCCTGACACCATCATACTGAAGTAGTTAAAAACACCCATTTTGTGCTTAATCATTTAGACACCAAGCTCTCAATGAAAACTGTATATATTTAAAAATCTGCTTTAATGAATCAGCTGGTGTCTGGTCAGTAAAGTCCAGTTTATTTTTAAAGTTTGTATCTGGAGAGTGTATTTTACCTCGCGTGCATTCCATTTGGTTTAGTATGGTTATACTTGGCTAAAGGTTTTAGACTTGCAGAACAATTTTGATAAACATTTGCAAATGAAGTTTTCGTATGGTCATAGTTGTCCTGGAGGTGTGTTCATAACTCCCTGCCAAAGGGAAAGAAAATAAACCACTTAGAAATAGGAGACTAATGAAATCTTTGGCTATTTTTAATTGGTAGGGTCTGTGTTTGTACAAAGTACGACTGCCACTAATTGATGTTGGATCATCTATTTATTTCTGCCGTTCTAAGTGGAATTCTCTTAATTCTTGTAGAAAATGTGAGCTTAAGCAGATCTGTGCAATAATTGTGTGCTTTTTGAGATCTTTGAAGTGTGATGGTTGCAATGTAATAGTTTTGCGATTCATTCTTTCAGACTGCTTTAGAAGCACTATCTGCCTTCAACATAGCTTGATCACACTTGACATTTCTGACTTGTTTTACATACAACTGCAAAAAAAATGTTCCCCTGTTACTGGAGGTATAGTAATTGTGTTTAGTGCATTTGACCAGTCTTCTTAGCTGCATTTTAGTGAAATGCAGAAAGTAAACAAATGGCAATAAGTAAACTGGAATCCAAAAATCTAAGGTTAGCAGTAATGTATTAGTTGATGTGACTAAGTCTAGAATAGTCAGGTTTTCCTCAATGAAAGGCTGACTGGAACTAGCTAAATTGACTGAGCAAACATGGCTTTTATATGTGTTTAAAGGGATACTATTAGTTTATATTTTAAAAGTTGTATGTCACTGAGGCCAGAGAATTAAAACTAATTAAATCCTGTATTTTAATAATACTTAAGATAGACCTCACTTTCTGGCTTTAAAAAAGTTTCACTTACAATTATACAAAAGAATCAAAACATTGAATATTAGGTTTTGTTCAACTTTCTATAAGCCTAACCTTCAAAAACTAGTCACCAGAGATTTTTAATAGACAAGAGACAACTTGTCTTTAGGATCAAATTTCTGTCTACATTTGAAAATATTCTGTAGTTTTGTGACTAGTAATATTGACTAAATTGAGAATCTTAGTAGATCTCCCTTCTTCCAGATCAATGGCCTTGTAATTGCAGGTAAACATCCTAGTCCATTGCAGGTCATTTTTTTAAACCTATGTGAGACTTCTGTCTATTATTTGGGGCCTAGCTTACGCTCACATAAGATACGTCTGCTCTAAATGTGGTCTAGTTTCTAAATGCCCTTTTCTGTTCTCTGGGTTGGTTTGTCTCCCTCAGACTGCAGCACAGGAACTGCAGTTGCAAGATACTAGTAACTGTATTGGATAAAAACAAAAGTGGTGATGCCTGTTTCTCTGCTGCCATTATACTAAAACTGTTTTTACTTTGAAAATTTGATGCATTTCCAGAATATTTTCAGGGCTGTTTTGAAGTACCTAATTGTGTAGGGTTTTTTTATGCCATACTTTCAATTCAGATATCAAATCGGCCAAATTACTTCCTTGGGCTTCTAGTATTCAAACATCTAGCAGGTTTGTCTAAATACCCTTGTGAGGCTTATGTCCTATCTGAGCTACAGCATCAGAGTTTCTCCAACAACTTCCTTTTAAAGGGGCTGTTCTGTTTTCACTCTGGTCAAGTTAATCAATAGCTGTTCCTGTCAAAATTAACTTGCTAAACAACAATAGTGTCACCAATCGGGTCCTATGTCTGTCAGTGAGATTGTTCTGCCTCCCTAAGCTGTGGCTAAAAGCCTCATTGAATGACTTGCATTACCAAAACATCCAAAAAAGTGAGTTAACTCAGGTAAAGTCTGCATTGAGGCAAGGTTTTTGGAAGACTTTTTTTAAATTGGAAAAGCTGCTGATCCTTATCCTCATCAGTAACCTTTTGAAAATAAACCCTCATGGATAGGAGTTTAAAAATATGGCCCCAACTCTGACTGCTTTGAGCTTGCCATCAATTGTGGGTGCTTTTAAGCAGTGACCTCTGAAGAGCTTGTGGTGGTGTTTAGATGACACCGCTTCCTGTTGCAGTGAAGGGCAGGCTGCATCCTGACTGATGAGGTGTACTGAGTTACCATAATGCAATGTGCTGGTGGGGGAGGCAGCTGAAAGGCTCAGGCTGCATGATGCTTGTGAAGCCTTTTCCTGCAGCCCCTTCGCTGCTGGAGCCTTTCACGGAGGTGGGGAAAGGCTTAAGCATGGGCAGCCGCTGGCGACTTCTCCTGAGACAGCCTCTCACTGCTGGAGCCTTTCACAGCAGCAGGGAAGGCAGCAGGACACTATCCGGGATGGAAGAGGTTACCTGGTAAGTAGTAGGCTTATTGGCCTTCTTACAAGGTAATTTTGTTAACCAGCCAGCTGGAACAGCTCCAGCTGGACCCACAGTGGCCACCAGCAGGAAGCAGTCCCTCATTGAACCATTAACTGTCTTAATGCATTTCTACATCCTGAGATACTATGCTGTTAAAAATAGCAGTGTAGATATGAGAGGTTGGCTTGGGCAGGTAGAGATGTGTAGGACACTTTCCTTGCTCCTGTTGTGCCTCACTATCTGCATTGCTGGTCAGACCTGTGCTAGCAGTGACTGTACTCCACATGCCACCGTAAGTGTAGACCTACCCGAACATGGGGTCATGACTGCCTAAAGGCAGTTTCTGAATGCATTGGTTTTATAGTTCAACCACTTTTAAAGTAAACTTGGGTAATATGGTATTGGAGGAGTCTTGATGCAAAAGCAAGCTACCTTGGCGAGCAGGAACCTATCTCTAATGGTTTAGCTAACTACAGCTACTGTGATTTAGAGATTAATTCACTGAATGAAGCAGCAGGCCTCTTTGACAATGAGAAACATTAAAAACAATTAGACTAAATATCACAGCCCTGTCAGTTTAGAGGAGACAGAAGCTTGTCTTGCACTGTGTTGATTTTAAAGAGAACTAAATCTACTAGCTTTATGAAGTCTATTTTTAAAGACCATACTTGTTTTGTTACACTTACAAAACTTTGTGGTAATACTTCAGTTTTGCTAAGTCTTCACTAAAATTGAAGGGTGTCTCTTCATTCACTCGATACTTAACAGCACTCTCCATGAGTGAAACTTTATGAATTTCACTAATATCATGCTGTAGTTTGTCAACTACACAAGTTCTATGAAGACTGGTTTGGTGTACTTGGTGTACAGTGTTGCAATGAAAACTGTATTTAAAAAAAGAAAAAAGTCTTTGTATAATAGAGTAGCATGCTTGTGTTTAATCATGCTGTCACATTTTCCTTGCATCACAGAATTAGCTTTCAGTATAACAAAGTTTCAGATGCTGAAAGATGCTTGTTTTGATGTGGAGCCACATTTGACTTATTTGTCTTGTATTCCTAATAATTTGTGTTGATCTACTTCGGAGGCAGCAGATGCACACAATCCAATTGTTTCTTCTGGGGAAAGTACACCTGCCTTGAAATATTTTATAATGTAATTCACTGGCACTGAAAAAGCCTTTTTGAGATTGGCACATGGTTATAGTGACCAAAAGTTAATTTGAGGATCTATGTGCAATGAGTTTTCAGTCCATTCCTAGATCACTCAGCAGCAAAGCCATAAATGGAGCTTGACTCTCAACGCTAGTTGGCTCCTCTAAAAATAGGGGTAAAAGGGGGAAAGCTGCCTCATGCTGTTTTGTTAGCTTCTGTGAGCACTGAATTCACTTTAAAAAAGTTTTAGGGAAAATACCATCTAAGCTTGAAGCAATATGTGACTTTTTTTAGAATGTTTTTAAATAGTATTTTGTTTTTAAAGCTTCTGTATTTGTATTTAACACTCTGTGGGGTCATCTTGTACATGTGAATAAAATTTGAGTGACTCTTAACTGCCTTAGACTCTTGACTTAAATCGTGATGAATAATCTATTAGAGGCAGCAGCGGAGGTGGGGAGGGGTGGCTGCCCCCAAAGGAGCCTCTGTCCACAGCAGGCCAGAGCTGCTTGGTTTTTTTTTTTTTAAAAACAGGCTTCCACCAGCCACCCTACGCTGCTGCCTCTGGTAGTCATGTAACCACTAAGACAGTGGTGCCCAACCCGGGGTCTACAAGCATATTGCAAGGGATCTATGGGGGAAAATATAAAAAATAAAAATGAGCATAGAAGAGAAGTTAAGTAAATTGCAAAGTTACAATTCAGTATTTTTAAATTAAATATCTTCCAGTAATGCTAATTGCTGTCCAAATGTTGTGGCACCTTTGTGTGACGAAACAATTGATGGTTAGAAGCATACAAACATTAGCCATACATTCAACGTGGATCTGTGGCTGAAAGCAGGCTTGCTGAAGAGAGAGGAGACATTCCTCAAGTGGAATAAGTAAATGAAAGGTGAGAAAATATTCCACTGACCACTTAATTTAGATTTACTTGTTCTGGCAGTGAGGATGAACCGCAATCCATGTGCGTCCTGTGCTATGAGGTGTTAGCCAATGAGAGCCTAAAACCAGCCAGCCTTCGCTGTTGCCTAACACAGAAGCATGGCGTTTGAGAGTCCAAGCCTCTCGATTTTTTTTCCCCAAGTTTACTGAGTTAGACAAAAGCAAAAATCATAATTGTAATGGGTAGTGACAATACAAGGGCAACAGAGGCCTCCTACGGGGTAGCCCACCTAAAAACCAAGATGAGAAAGCCAGACATAATCGGTAAGGGAGCTAATATTGCCGGCAGCCAAGACAATTTTAAATACTATGCTTGAAGAGGAAATACAAACCAGTCTGATCCCATTGTCGAATAATACAGTTCAGTGCAAAATTGAGGAAATGGCCAAGAACATGAGGGAACAGTTGATGAATAGCATATACCAGACCTGCTTCTGTGCACTACAAAAGGATGAAACCACTGACATCACAAACCTGGCACAACTTGTCTTTGTCAGAATGAACACAGCGGGGAGCTAAACAAGGATTTACAAACAAACCACTTCCCACATGCACAGCTGAAAAGGCAACTTTTGATCTGAACTCTTTTTTGTTGGGAAAAATATTGATTGGAGAACATGTTGGGGTTAGTACAGATGGGGCTCTTGCTGTCTGGTCAACACTGTGGAGTTATCACTTATATTAAATCAATTACTCCATATGCAATGTAGCATTCACAGGGAGGTCCTAGCCACTAAGATAATCCCTGCTGATGTAAAGAGCATATTGTATGAATCTGTGAAGGTAGTTAACCTATATCAAGGCCTGTCCTCTCACTTCAAGATTGTTTGCAGTTCTATGTGATGAGATGGACAGTGATCACCATCAACTGTTGCTGCATGTGGAGATCTGCTGGCTGTCCAGTATTTTTGAGCTGAGACGCAAAGTGAGAATTCTGATGGGGACAAAGTTGGAGTTTGCCCATTGCTTTCATGATTTTAATTGGCTGGCTAAGTTGGCTTACTTAGATGATGTTTTTGGCCATCTTAATGGTCTTAACGTGAATCTGCAGGGGAAAGCAGTGACATGTTTTCAAGACAAAACTGAAGCAATGATAAAGAAATTAGAACTGTGGTCTAGTCAAATGGATCAGTTGACCAACTCAATCTTTCTGACTTTTTGATTACATTTGAAATGCAGCTCCTCAGTGATGTTAAATATACAGTCAAGGAGCATCTGCAAAGCCTGAAAACACAGATGCGAGTACTTTCAGGTTCAAGACCAAAACCGACTGGATTAGAAATCCCTTTGAATGTGCTGATACCCTAGCTAGTTTAACATCAAAAGAGCAAAACAGTCTAATTGAAATGTCTTGTGACACTACTTTAAAGCTGGTCTTCTCACAAGTTCCTCACTGAGTATTGGCTTCATGTTGCTGCCGAGTACCCAGAGCTGTCCAAGATGGCCACACAATTTGATGCCCTTTGCCACAACATATGTGCAAAGCAGCTTTCTCAGCTCGTGGCAATAAAAACCAAATACCAGAGTTGGCTGTGTGTTGAATCAGACAGTGACTGAGACTATGGATCCAACCTGACATCCAGTCTTTGAAGTCAGTGAAACAACACCAGGAATCTCACTAGGTAAGCCAAAAGTTTTTGTTGCTATGTAGGCCTACTAGTTGTGGTACTTTGTTATGAGATGTGCAATCGAATTGTTGTGATGTTGGAAATAGGTATGTATTGTGTTAAATGTTTGTTTCCTTTTTCATTTAATGACATGCTAGAATTGGCTTGGAGGGCCTAAACAGTTGGGGGGAGGTGATTATTGGGGGTCTGCACTAGTGAAAAGGTTGGGAACCACTGCACTAAGATGTCATGTAGTTGAATAGTCCTGTAACCACCTATCTAAACATCTCTACTTTGAGGTGCCCAATTTGAGATGCCTAAAGGGCTTTTTTCCCCTGTGCCCCAATATGTGGTATACCACTGTTTAGACCTCCATTGTAGATGAGTGCAGAACTATTCTGGGAATCCACTCCCAGCATATCAAGCTGGATACCCAGAAAATTTGGGACAGCTCTGGCTTCTGGCAAAGTTTGGTTTGAATTGCTGAACATGGTAGAGGAACCCTGACAAACAGCATCTAATTCCCCAGGATAACATTCAGCTGCTGGATCATTAGACCATTTTCACTGCTGTTCTGCCTCATTCCTTAAGCTTAGTTTACCTTTAGATATTTTACAGTAGAAAATGTTAGATTTGCTTATTTGTATTGGGTAAATAAACATTATTTAGGAAAATTTCTTGAAGTTTATAAAATGATATTAATCAAATCAAATATTAGTTGTAATTAGTGACCTGATCATCAGTGTCTAAGATTTTAGAACTACAGGTTGAATCTCTGGTCTGACAGGGTTTTAATTAACCAGATGTCCACTTATTGGTATGGCCAAGTTTCCTATCATTCCATAAAGCTTGTTCAGACACCCATCCTGGCTCTACCATTTATTATCTCTAATTTACAGCTAAAAGCCCAGTAAGCAGTGGAAGTGTTGGAAATGCTCCTAAACAATATTGACCTCCCATGGTTCTGCAAATTTTCTGGTTTGGCACTGAACTGAAATCTAGTGCAGGTTCAACCTGCAGTAGATTTCTCATACCTAGTGTGTCTCTCTCTTTCTCCCGCCCCCCCTCCCCCTGCGGCTTCTGGTTTAGAAATAAAGCTTTCTTGGTTTTTCAGCTCCCAGTTGATTAACTTTAAACTCTTCTTTGAGCTGAACTAGTTGAATAAACTGAAATGACTTTTTTTTGCTGTATCAAAAACTGGTTTAGCATTTCAGATGCTGGTACCAGGTATTTGGCCAGTGGCTTTCTCCAGATCAGTGATCTGATTTTTCTTAAGCATTGTTAGCAAGCCATTATTTAATATTTTTTTTAGCAAGCCATTATTTAATATTTTTTTGTATTTAAATATTAATGCATTAAAGTTTATGAAACTGACAAGTGAAGGTCTATTTAATTGTGCATTTTTAGAGTGCTACTTAAAATAAAAATGTAAATGGATTTTATACACTGGCTCTCCACCACAAATCCCTTCCTGCCCCCTGAAAAAAGTGAGTGGTCCTCAACAGGGTCTATTTAATCACATTGAGAGCAACTGTTAACAGAGTTAAACCAGCTCTGCACTTAGAGGTACGAAATAAGAAACTTACTACAGAACACCTATGACTCTTCAGAAAACTTTATTCAAGATTAGATACAAGCATCAAATATAATGGCATAGTGCAGCAACACACTGAACATAGGACTTTTATAAAATATTTAAAGTTTGGAGGTTTAGCTAAAATGTCCATGAACAATGAATTACAGATTTCAGATGTCCCAGTGTGGTAGGAAAGCTTTGATAAGCTTCACTGTACATGGAATGCATGCCATTATGTATAGGAAAGGTAAGGGGTCTGACAAATGTAGTCTTTACCTATGAATCTGGTTTGTAACACATATGGTTAACATTTTAGAGCCAAACCTGAACTAATCTGTGTGATGTTCCTGGAACAACATTTAACAACTTCAAGTCTAGCACTGTGGCATAATAAATATTTACTCTACATGCTCTGGAGAGCTACCCTCTGTCATGATTAAATTTTTCCCAAAGCTTCCCAGTACCAACTGGTCGCTAAAATGAAATATGCACCACAGTTAATCTTATGTCATGCACTTTAACTGTGTTAATGTGCACTGTCTGAATACCTTATTTTTAGAAACACTTAGATGTTAAATCAAGCATATATACTAAGGCTTACTGTAGAATAAGTAGCTTATTACAGCAAGGGAGTCTGGAAGCTTAAGATAATTGATTACAGGAAAAAAGTTGTGCTTAGCTTATTTTTAGTTCCAGATAATTGACCCAACTATTCAAGTAAACTCTATTAGTACTATCAGTTTTGTACATAAATGGCAGGGCACTAGTTTTGTCACTCAAACCAAAGCTGGATCAGTTAGTTTCAGTCTTAGTTGGAAAGAACAAGAATCTTGGTCCTTAACAGTGAAGGTAACTGCCACTCTTTTCTTCCTGTTACAGAGTAAAGGAAAATGAGGGCAGAGAAAGTTACCTGAGGCCACAATACAATTAGCAATAGTTAGAGAACCTTGGAATTATGCAAACCGAGTTAAGGGTGCTGATAATAGGAAGCTACTCCATTAAAGTTTCACCTGCCATGAAAGAGATATCATGGCTTACACTACATTTCAAAACTAGGTCAGGCAGCCTTCTCCTTTTCCCACCATCAACCAAAAAGTTGAATAGAAGGCATAAAGGTGAAAATGGGATAGACACTTCACAGTTAGCTGCTGTTTGGTGTTGTGGAAAGCAGGATACAAATGCTAAAGTTGAGAAGCAGGGTAAGATGATAATGTATCCCACTGAACTACCATCAGTAGTGTTTGGGATCAAAAGGCAGGCAAAGTCTTTAGCAGTTTCTTCCAAGTATGCTATATTAAACTCCTTGACTACATTCTCTTGTGGGGAGGAGAAACAGAGGGGCAGTGGTAGAAAGCACTCCCACATTATGCATTGGAAGACAACCCAGGAATTGGGATCAAGGGTGATATTTGAGTTTGTTGGCATTATTTTAGACTTTGAAATGCAGTATCAGGGCGGCAGTTTTCTCTATTTTAGGGATGCGAAAATTCAATTTGGTTAATAGACTAGTCAGTCAATGCAATGTGTCAATAAGGGGGCTTCTGACTTTCAAGTGTAGCAACAGTCCAGGGGTGTTGCTACACTTGAAAGGCAAAAGCATGGCAGGGAGCACAGGGCCCTTACTGGCCCCATGCTTCCCCCATGGCATTTCAAAGTAGCAGTGCCATATGGAGCCTAAGGTCAGTGGGGGAGACCTTAAGTGCCATGCTGCACTGCTGCTTTGAAATGCTGTGTTCAGCCCAGGGCTAGTGAGGCATAACACATTTGTCATAATATTCCTGGGGGAATGCTGCACCACTGTGCATGTTTCATATACAGATAGCATCTGCTGAAAAAGTTGCTTCAGTTCTGCCTTTTGTCCACTAGGCAGCACTGTTGCAGTAGAACAGTTGCTGTTCCTGGCCAGCCCCAGCCAGTATAGGGAAGAGAAAGAGCCTATCATCTTCACTACAGGTCAGGATATGGTAAGTCAGTATGGGGGCTGCTGGAGTGGTTAGACAGGGGTGCTCATAAGGCACAGCAGGGGAGGACAGACTGGAAGTGGAGGCACAGGCCCACATGGAAAGGAGGATGGCTGAGAGGAGTCAGTGGTCCCTCTGCACACCCTCCAAAAAGCCACTCAACTCTAGTGTTCACATCCAGATCCTTCCCTGTAATTACTTGTCTCCCTCAGCTCTGCCATTACTCCTGACTCACGCAAGAAGTATGGGTGTGCTGTAGTTTAAATGAATTATTCACTATGCTCTATTAATATACCCATTAAGAAATCTGTCATCATTTCCTGAATCTTGTTTTGTCATCTGCATTGATACAGGTAGTTGCAGTGGGTATCTCGAAATAAATATCTCAACAATTGAAGCTGCTCTGACAAAATATGCAGAATTATAAAATATTGCATGTAGAATTGTCATGCAGAATTCCTCGAGTAATATGAGCCTCTTTTCTACACATTAGGTAAATCCAGTATTTCATGTGACCAATTTGAGAGAGACCTTATAACCCAAGTAACTTTATAATGGCATGCAAGACTTCAAAGGTAGATTTTCCTATACTATGATATAAAGCGATTCAGTTTAATCCTTTTGCTTTTACATTGTTTAGACTCAGAGCCACAACTTTGGGGGAAAAAACAGAACCAAGCCTCCCCACAGGATATTTTTAAATGTATGATTAAAACTCCATTGAGGGGCCTTAGTATCTTATCTACCTCAAGCACTCTAGCTGTGCTGTGTATTAATGCCTTCTGGAAATATAGCACCATAAATCAGGTTTTTTTAGTTCTGACACATTATGCTCATTTCCTTTAACAAATGAGGATTTAGGTAGCCTACATAGTGCAGTTTTAGCCCAGGAAATTGTAATACAGATGTTTAACTGAAGTAATTTTCTATGCTGCTAGGTTTCTAGGACCAAATCCTGTTCAGTTAGAATGTAGTGTAAGCTCAAAGTAGTTATTCGGGACTTACATTCATGAGAAGCCTTTCTGACAGGAATGTGATAGAAGTGTCCCTACTCCACAAAAGTGGCAATACAAAACTTAAGTAGATTTCCCCACCACTCCAGTGATGTGATTGAGACACCTAGGCTTCATGCTGTCATTTGATTCTCCCCCACTTCCTTAGTATAGTTCTAATGGATTCATGACAATGGGATTTCCTGGGCTGGCTGTTTCACCCCCCCCAATCAATAGGACTGGAGGGTGGTGCTAACATCCTAAACAACTCTGCACTAAAGCAAATATCACCTAATGGTTTCCAGGGGGTGAAAAGAACATGGAAATGGGCCACCTTTATCCCATTTTCTCATGTATATAAATCCCAACACCATGAATACCTTCAGTAGGGTCTGACAGCAGAGAGGAGTATTCCTTGGAGTGGGTGGCTTGCATGAATAGACCCTCCAATTAGGACCATCAAAACCTAAATACTGTAATAATTAAATTACATTCAGCATAGGTGATTGCATTTCCTCTTAATGTACATTTGAAACACTCGGTCTCATTGAACAGATATGTATTTTAGCAGCATCCACTGCTTTCTGTAAGATTACTTTAGTAGTAGTTAAAGGATTTTGTTAGAAGTGCACTATAACAAGACTAAGTTAATACCTTACAGACATGGCTCTCACAAGAAATCATGATCTCATGTAGCACTAGATTTATTAAAGTAGAAGATACAGTTTTGTCAAATCAACCCAACTGACCTACTTCTATATAACAGAAGTAAAAAAAGGGGAAAGAAGAGATCCAGAGGAAATTTCCACAATCAGACAGTAGTCATTTCAGAAACTTAGCAGTAGCATTTTTAACCTAAAAGTTAGGAAAAATACATTTGAGAGAAAATTATTTAAGAATGTCAGAAAACAGGATAGATGCACTTCAGTAAAAATGCCCCTGCCAAATTTGACAAGTAATGTCTTAACTGTACTTAATGTCATGTAAACACCTCACAGAATGTGGCAAGTGTAGTTAAGTAGGAAAATCACTGACAGTGCCAGTGGCTTGTATTTCAGGTCATGAACGCAACCTAATGTGCAATTAACACAAACATGATAAAACCTAACCCAGTTAACAAGTTTTAGTTAATGATTAAAAAAATAAAATAATTGCTTTTAGTGCAACATTTATTGTATCAAACATAAGTCTATCATGCTTTGGAAACTGTTACATTATATACAGTATACAGCAATACTTTAAACTAAAGGTGACAAATATTAAACAGAAGAATGTTTACATATAGGTGAGAGTCTCAGTATTGTCCACTGAATAGTCAGGTTTGTTTTGTAGTGTGTCATATGCACATTCTTGCCTGTCACCTTACAGTACAGTTTTTCCAGCAGTGGCTTTTCTGTTCATACAGTAGTAAAGATGTTTTAAAAAACTGCACCACCTTCAAGCTGTGTCAGTTGTTGCTACAAACACCAAGTGCATGGACATCTGAAAAATAAACAAATCATTGCTGTAAACATTACAAAATTTAATCTAAATCTAGAATTAAAAAGATCCAATTGCAGGATTTGAGCCTATGAACATGCACCTATGTGGAGCCCCATTGACATTCGTAGTCCTTGGATGCATTCTTTAAGCCAGGGGTGGGGAACCTAAGGCCCAGGGGCTGGCTCAGGGCTGCCCCCCAGTATTGAGCCTGCACTGTACAAGAACCCCAGCAGGCTTACAAAGGCTGGGACCCCACAGGAAGCACAGGGGTCCCCCACTCCCTACAGGACTTCCTTTTGAAATGTACAAGATTCTCACTGGGGCTCTTGTATATTTCAAAAGGAAGCTCCATGCTCACTGCAGGGCTCTTGCTACAGTTCAAAGGTAGAGGCATCCTTATAGACTAGTCAATGGAAATCCCATCGACTATTTGATTAGTTAATCTAACATCCCTAGCCAAGGCTCCCCTAGGCTCTGGTAGGAGGGGAATGCAGGGAGTGTCTTTCTCCTCCTCAGTCAGGGGCCACATCAATGAGAGTTTGCTTTTGTTTTGCTTCTCACTTGTGTGCAGCCCCTGACTGATTTCTCCATGGGTCAGTGGCCCCTGACCCAAAAAAGGTTCCCAACCCCTGCTTTAAGCCATTTGAAACTCAAGATCCTTCAAAGATGCATCCCCTGAGTTTTCCTTCATTTTTAGGACACAAAACCCTTTGCCCAAGGGATTACCAATCCACAGATCACACACAGAATAGATTGTTTATTTAAGAAATCAATATCTGCAGATTTAAATTTTAAGTTTCACCCTCCTTTGCTCAGGTTTCTGTTAACAGCTTGGATGAAGAGGATATCTCCTCCTCATACTGTATCACACTCAGGACAAAATGGATAGAGAAAATAATCCAGTTATTGGGCTTCAAAGACCAGATTTATTTTTAATATACACTATCTTGTCCCTTGACTTCAAATTCACTTTAAACCAGGATCTCAGTTGTTTACAGAAACTTTGCATGTATCTACATCTAATTTAATCTGTCATTTCTTGCCCAGTCACTCAGTTCAGCAAGATCTCTGTACAACTCTGCCATCAGCTTTGGACTTAATGACCTTGAGGAATTGTGGAAAAGGCTGGTATACCCCAGAGAAGTATACTCGGGTGAGTAATAGGCTGGTGGTGCTTGCCAGCTAAGCACAAGCATCTCTCATGCTGGAGGCAAGGGGGTAAAATGTGACAATATCCCACCTTGGGTTCCCAAAAACCATCAAACAGTGTAGCTGTGGAAAAAAAATCCATCACCACAATACACATGCCTTTATATTTTGTGATATCAATACACAAAACTAGTGAGTATCAGAGGGGTAGTTGTGTTAGTCTGAATCTGCAAAAGCGGCAAGGAATCCTGTGGCACCTTATAGACTAACCGAAGTGTTGGAGCATAAAGCTTTCGTGGGCAAAGACCCACTTCGTTAGATGCATGTAGTGGAAATTTCCAGAGGCAGGTATAAATACGCAGGCCAGAATCAGGCTAGAGATGACGATGTGGATCGAATCAGGGAGGATGAGGCCCACTTCTAGTAGCTGATCTGCTTCTGAACAAAATCCATTATGTTTTTGAAGTCGAGATCATCATAGTAATTCTGAATTCCTCTTTGGATACTGTCATTTAAAAAAATCAATTGTCTAGATTTCTGAAGATCAGTGCCACAGCTCCTCCAATCAATTCAATGAAGAGACAAATACTAAGGATGTACATGAATGCTTGAAGAAGGCATAAGTTGTCTCCTTAAATAAGCCAATACACCCACAAAGGATACAAGAAACATTACAATGCCCAAGAGTATTAGAATAATTGCTGGGGCTAGAAAGGCACTTTCAAGGTTTTATACTTCTGTCTTTCAACTTCTGCATAAATTCCAATAGCAAGAACAAGTGCTCCTATCAACTTAAAAATCTATCCCTATTAGGAAAACTTCTTAGCTCTCCAAAACAAGAAATTCAATAATTTTAAACTTGGAGGTGGGTGCGCCGCCAGGGGCAGCTGGGGTGCAGGGCTCCAGGACCATAGTGAGGTAGAGCAACCTACCAAAGATGCTTAGTCTCACTTTATATAGCTTACCTTTTGTTTCTAGAATAAGTGGTCAGTTTGTTTTGTTTTGCTTTTTTTAACAGCCACATTCTTGAGCACTTTGAGCTTGTGCTCTACGTGGTGATCTCAGCTGTCTCAAGGCAGCATCTCCATACTGAATTCCTGAGCCCATCCGTTCTGGATCCAGTTCTCCTGATGAGAAATAAAATTGCCATATAAGCTGTTCTCATTTATAAATACACATTACAAGTAAAAACTGTTAACACTAAAAGTTGTTAGCATTTATGTTTCCCTATCCCACACTTAAGGAAGTGGATCATCCACCTCTCATTTTCCACAGCAGTTTCAAATTGTCCAGCTCCTGAACACAACTAAAATGGTGCATCTTACAAGTGAGTTTGGCTTTTGTTCCCAAGTAGACAAGCCCTCAGTGGCTGGTGTGCACTAGCTCCCTGTGTGACTACTTACAATGCACACTAGGCCTTTGTGCACAGTAGCTTACTGCACTTTGAACAGGTACAAATGTCTCTACACTGCAGGGTTTTTTTTGGCAGTGGGCATATTTGCACAGCCCTTTAACATGGGTATAAACAGCAGTGTAGATGGTGAGATATGGATTAAGCCAGTAGCAGAGTACAGGCACTATGTACCAGAGAACATACATATGTCCTCTAGTGGCCCAAGCCATGCCTCCCATCTTCACTGCTACTTTTAGCAGTGCTGCATCCTGCTGCTGCTGGAGCCTTTCCCTCTGCAGTACAAGACTACAGCAGTGGTCACTTGGCAGGGAAAGGCTGCCAACTCCTGTGGCCCAGAGCACTTCCCTTCTGTGGGGAAAGGCACTGGAAGCAGAAAAAGGCTCAGGGTAAGTGGCAGGTAGGGAGAGGAGGTACTCAGGCTTTCATAGTGGGAAAAGGCTTTGGCAGGGCGGAGATAGCAAGGAAATGTTCTGGCAGCTCGGAGCAGCTGAAGCCTTTCCTCGCAGCCTCTCCTCCCCCAGAGTAGCTACATACAGCAGATTGGCCTCTTTCAGTGGCATTTAGCTACACGTACCCTACATGCCACAAAATGGTACGTAGTTTAGACGGAATGTTAGCATGCAGAAGTACGTCCACATGGGGAGATTGGTGCAAAGCAGCTGGTGCCCTTTCAACTCACCACCTACCTTACTGTGCATTAACTTCCTTGTGCAGACAAGCTTTTTGACTACAGTACGATTTCCCCCCCTTATAAAGAGGTAATTAAATTCCAAAATAACTAATATTTGCTTTATAGTTCTAATTTCATTCTGAAAAAAAAAAAGCTACCCAGTTTTAAAGACCACTTTCAAACCAATAAGGAAGGCTTAAGAGTTCCATAACAAACCTGGGACAGATAGATCAGTCTGATACACTAGCCATGAGCTCTGTTTTGGCTTTTTATGCGTATTTTAAATGAAAATAACTGAGTTTTGGCAACCTTGACTGAGTTTAAAAGATGAGTAATTTGCAATACAGAGTTCCTGGACATTCAAAATAAGTCCTTAGAATTCAAAACATGGAAACTGGCTCCATACTACACTGAGTTTCCTGATTCTGCTGACTTTCTAGTCTGTCTGGTGCCTCCATAAAGTTTTAAAGTGGATTTGTTGCAATGACTAAAACCACAATCAAGTATATATGGTTGTGACTACTTTCTTCCACTATTTGATCTGAGGAAGTGGGTCTGGCCCACGAAAGCTCATCATCTAATAAACCATCTTGTTAGTCTTTAAAGTGCTACATTGTCCTGCATTTTGCTTCAACTGCCCCAGACTAACACGGCTACATTTCTATCACTATTGCACTGGGAGGCACCTTGTGTTATCTGGAGCCTGTAAAAATAAAGTTAACCCCAAGAAGAAGCCAGGTAGGTCAATCAGAACACTTCTGGGAGGGGAAAGTCTCCTATGCTTAGTATATGATCTATTACATCACCTTGATATGATTCTCTCTATATATAAAAGCAGGTGCAAAAGTGATCTGAAGTCATGTCTGCCCTGATAGTGATACAGCACAGAAAGTTGCTAAAACTTTTAAAGTCTTCTTAATTCAGAAGCTCCATGGTTGTGGAGACAAAGAAGGCCACAGAGCATGCAGCCTGCAATCAGAGCTAAATATTAAGTCTAACATTAAGAAATGCTGAGGGTGAACATTTTCCTTTTGATTAATATTCATTCTCATTAGCACATATGGGGTGGTAAGAAGTTTTAGAAAAAGATCTTTGTTTATCCAAGAGAATGTACATATTTAATCTATTTATACATATAATCTATTACACGTAACTGTTGATATAGTAAAAACTTAGGGTACGTCTAGACTACATGCCTCTGTCGCCAGAGGCACGTAGATTAGGCTACCAGACATAGGAAAATGAAGCGGCGATTTAAATAATCGCCGCTTCATTTAAATTTACATGGCTGCCGCGCTGAGCCGACAAACAGCTGATCAGGCAATTGCAAAGCAGCAAGATATTATAGTTTTCACTGTGGGTGCAAGAAGAGACAACACATTCTAACTTAATCATAATAGTTCTATTTACCTGATTCAATTTTATTTAGTATTTTTCTTGCGCACTGTACAAAGGCCTCTTCGACATTCTCTCCGGTTAGTGCACTTGTTTCCAAAAACATCAGTTCTGATGCCAGAAAAATAAAATCTCAAGTCATTAACATTTTGAAATGCTCTGTTGTAGTATTTGAAACAAAGTTTGTCAGAATGGTAAGAATTTATTTTAAAGAGAAGCTATTTTTAAAGTGAGACTGAAGCAGTTTAGCTCCCCTTTCCTCCCATAAATTAGGTTATGAAGGTAGTACAGGCAGTCCCCGGGTTACATGGATCCGACTTACATCAGATCCCTACTTACAAACGGGGTGAGGCAACCCCACACTAGCTGCTTCCCCCCAGCAGACCAGGGAGACGCGAAGCTAGTGTGCCCCCCCCTTCCTCTCCCAGCAGACCAGGGAGATGTGGAGCGGCTTTTCTCAGCAGACACCTCAGCTTGAGAATAAAGGACTGAGGGAAGTGAGGTGTGGGAGAATAAAACTGAGCTCTGGAGAAATGTTTGGCTAGAGTTTCCCCTACAATATGTACCAGTTCCGACTTACATACAAATTCAACTTAAGAACAAACCTACAGTCCCTATCTTGTACGTAACCCAGGGACTGCCTGTACTGCTTGTTCTGCTCTTTGGGGGTGATCTTATTTTACTAGTAAAACTAGAAAGTACAACTTTGCCAACATTAGGGACTCTTTACCAGTATAGTATGTCAGTATTCCTATACCTCTGAAACATTCCTAGTACACATGGGGAGGATGAGAAAGAAAATGAACTCCATGTGACAAGATGTTAATCACTTTGCTTAATGTAATTCTGAAGGTGCTCAGACACTACAACGATGAAAGTGATTTAACAACGTATAGAGAATGACACAAAAGCCGCCCACTATGTTAAAAGAACATTAATAAGATTGCAAAATTAACCTCTAAAAAGTTAGAAAATGCCATAATTAGGCCTGACTGGGTAACCTTTTTTCAGACACCTTGTGCTTTTAAATTAAGATACAGTCCATCTTTACATGATAATGTACTATTTTTTCCATACGATCAGTGTCCTAGTCAATGAATGGAATGGATAATGCTCACTTAAAAAAAAGCAATTATTCAATATTTTGTTTTATTCTCCTTGTTCAATGTGTGGCCCGACAACTTACTTACTGCCCACTATTCAAACCCTAGTCAGATGTTGGAATTATTAATTTCCTCATGAGTCTTTCTATGATACTCGTCTCCTATATACTTTAGTCAAATATTAATTAATTTGTTTTCAAAAACCACTCCTGCGAGTCAAAGAAGTAGTAGTATCCCCATTTTTCAAATAAAAATAAGACGCAGAGATTAAGGTAAAAATATTTGGCAATTTTAGGTTCCCAATATGAGATTCCTAGAACCTCATTTTTTCAGGGTACTTAGCATTATTGATCACTTCAGTAATGGAACTGGTGCATGCTCAGTGCAGACTGAATCCTCAGGAAATTTAATGGCTAGAAATTAAGAATCTTTTTTTGAGCATGTGTGAATTGAACTATGATTTATCAATGGGATCAAAAAATTGCACATTCTTGACAAAATGAATGCCAAATACCTGCTCCAAAGCATAGGTATGCTAGAGCTTTTCAAATAAAAAGGCACAAACATTTTTTAACATAGGCTACATCAGTGTTTCTCAACCAGTGGTACGAGTTCCCTTAGGAGTACTCGAGAGAAGTCTGTGTGGTACGTCAACACAACTCAAAAGTGGAGAAAACCGAATTTGTTTTAAATTTTAAATGCCATAAAAGCTGCAAGCTTAGTGACAAAGGAAACTGATGTGAATACCAAACTATGAAGCAGCTCCAAGACAAACCTAAAATAGTTATTTTGAGCAATTTAAAACTTTAAAGAAGAGATAAACAAACGGCTAATATTTTCCAAACAGATCACAAATAACATTACTTTCACCAAACATATTTGAGCATTACAAACTAAAAATGTTGTTCTGGACTACAAAAGTCTGCATATGGACTCTATAGCATGATGAACTAGTTCTTGAATGAAAATTCATTTGACTACATTATTTAGAAGCCAAATAATTGCCTTGCTATCATATCTTAAGTTTACTTGGTAAAATCCTTCCTTCCCCTTTCAGTTATAAAATTCGGTTTTAAGATTTCAGAGACCCATTCAAAAACTTCAGTCCTCAATAAAAAGTCTCAGAGAGGTAGCCATGTTAGTCTGTAACTTTAAAAACAACAAGCAGTCCTGTGGCACCTTAGAGACTAACAAATATATTATACTACTTAGGAAAGATTAGTTTTAAAGGTGGACAGGGAGTAGTTAAATTAGGAGGAAAGGGGGGCAGGGAAACAGTCTATTGCTGAAAAGAATAGCACTAAGATGCCTTCTCCCACTATCCAAACCAAGGGCATATTTTCATTTTGGAAAGACAATACCAGCTTGACTTGATCTAGCGGCTAGAGGACTGTCATTTTACAGGCATTGCTAGGCTGCCTTTGTCACTCCTGCTCGTCACAGGAAGCCTATCATGTTGCCTGCCTGCCAACCAACAACATTCAGGTTACATTTACAGCAGCAAGCTTAACTTCCCTTGACAAGGTTAATTAATATTGCTCCACAGTGGCTTAATGCAAGTACCTGTACTATATCTTACCACCAGTTAACAGAGCAAAATTACCAATCCTCACAGAACACCACTGCATTGCCTTTTGGATCACAGCAAAATCATGCAAGAGACTGAACAGTTTAGATTTTTTCTTTAAACTGTCTTTTTCTCTCCCTTTCCCCCCTAATATCTCGGAAAAGGATCAGCTGGCCTAAAACTAATATTTTCAACCCAGGTAGTGCTCTTCCAGATCTATATAGGTAGGTGAACCTCCATGCTTGGATCTCACCCCTCCCACATGGAAGATGTCTGTGACATCATTCTACCCCAAGAATCTGCAAAGGGATCTCCACGAAAGAGGGATCCTCACAGGGGCAAGGAGTGGGAGCTAGAAAATCCTATTTATCATACTTTCCTTAATCCTATGGAAATATAGCCTAGAGCTGCATTGCCCATATGGCTGCTGTATTTCCTCAGCAGATCTTCTCTATAATCAGGAATCTTCCTTTAAGGGGACCCAGAGAATAGTAATGTGTAGGGGGAATAGTTGGTAGTGTGGCTTCTATGAAGCTGTACTATTAGGAAACAGGAAGGACAGGAAGCAGCTGAGGTACACAGTCCTTAAGTGGATTGTTCTAACCTCCTATGGATTCTTGGGAACAAGGGGACTTCTTGGGCCACCTCCATTGGTCTTTGCTGGGGAAGGGAACCAGTGAACAAAACTCTCAGGAAAGAACATAATGGGAGCCTCAAATAATCACATTTCCTTTCTCCTCCTGCTTTCAGCAAAGCCATCTGTTAAAATCCTAATAGTGTTGAATTCCCCTTAATTTAGTATTAAATACAAAATGGGTAAACACGTTAGTTCCTTAGACAAGAGCTGAATAATGTGAAGTAAAATATCTTCACTACTAGTTTAGACATTGTACTGCCACCTACCATTTTCTTGTGCAAACCTGGATGCTTCTAAAAAAGTAACTTCACGATCTGCATCAAGATCCTTTTTGTTCCCACACAGAATGATCACAATATTTTGACTTGCTAGCATCCTTGCATCTGTCAACCAATTAGTAAGTGCGTTGTAGGTTTCTCGGCTGCATAACACAAAAACATTTAATATACAATTATAAATATTGTATTAACCTTTGGACCAGGGTGGCCTAGAGGTTAGAACTCAGACCTAGTTTCCAGTTCTGTCTCTGCCATTAATATGCAAAGTGACCTCAGACAAGTCACTTCACCTCAGTTTCACCATTTGCAAAATGGAGTTCAAATTGATCTCCTTTGTAAAGCACGTTGAGATCTACAGATGAAAAGCATTACTAGACATTATTTACGGTCGTAAGAGTTTTGAGATAGATTCCATATATTCACTCTTGTGAGACTTGCCAATGGTGCAGTTCTGATCGTGGAATTTGATTGAACCTGTCAGAGCACTCACTCACCCCCTTCTACTATTTTAATTGTTCCTCAACAATGAGTCAGACTATAAAAGGGGCCATGACTTCTACCACCTCCTGAAGTCCAGAATAATAGTCAGACCTTCAAGGAAGAACAGAAATTAATAGCTGAAAGAATTTTTAAAAAATTGTCCTTTGAAGCCTCAGGTAGGAACAGTCTTCCAGAATCACTCTTAGGAAAAGGATGCTTTGAGTGGAAAGCAAAAGTGATTTTGTGTCATGAATTTTAGTCTGCTGAGAAGGCAGGCAGGTTGTGTAGGATATAGCTCTGGAAAGGCTTACTTTTGAGACTGCTTTGATTAGCCAATTGTCTAAGCACAGGTATGCATGAATTTCTTACTTCTGTAAATGTGCTGCCACTACAGACAGTGAACACATGGGAGGACATTGTACTGGAATGTTCTTTCTCCTCACTACAAAATGAAGATATTTTCTGTGCATATGAAACATACATCCTTAAGACTAAGCACTCCAAACCAATGTTGAAGGACAAAGGAAGATAGAATAGATGCTAGGGTTAAAACCCAGAACAGAAACTTTCTGACGGAGACTTAGGTCCAATAATGGGCAACCTAGTCTAGCGAGTGGGCTGCATGAGTGACCCTCCAGCTCAGTGGGCAGCAAGATTGTCATAATCAAGAAGGTATTATCGCTGTAGTAAGTGATAGTGCATTAAGCAACGTGACACCTGTCACTTCTTGTTGGTTCTGGCATCCTGTCCAAGGAAAAGCATGTGAAGTAGGGACGTGAAATCCCGTTTAATTAGTTAATGGCTTAAACCATAAGCTTAATTGGTTAACGATTAAATGGGGATGGGTGGGGAGGGAGTGGCTCCTGGGCTGTGGGCAGAAACTGCTCCAGCCCAAGGGGCTGCTGGCCCCGAGCCTGCATGGAGTGGAAACCAGCAATAGCGTGTGTGTATGGGTAGAGGCTGCTGGTTCCCATCCCACACAGGCTTGTGGGCTGGGAGTCAACAGGCTCACATTTGGCAGAAACAGCAGTTGAGGGGGAAAGGGGTGTGGCAAGCTCCAAGTCCGGAAGGCAGCAGCCCTCCCCCCGCTGCTGCTTCCTCTCTCCCATGCAACACTACCAATTCCAAGCCTGTGTGGGCTGGGAGCAAGCAGCCCCGTGGGGTCGGAGCAGCTCTCTGCCCACAGCAGGCAATGGACTGCTCCTGAGTAATTGCTAACCGGTCACATCCCTAGTGTGAAGTGGAATGTCTTTTAAAAAAACCAACCAAACAAAAACAAACTAAACCACTTCTATCAAAACAAGTCTCTCTTGCTATGTGAAGCGTTAAAGGGAGATATGGTTTCTTATTTTAGAAAAGCCGGAAAAGAGCGTCTACACTGGCCCCGATCCTCCGGAAAAAGCGCCCTTTTCCAGAGGATCTTATTCCTACTTCAAAAGCCGGAAAAGCGCGGCGGACATTTTTATTTAAATGCCGCGGGGGATATTTAAATCCCCCGCGGATTTCCCTATTACGACTCGTGAAATTAACATGCCCCTTCCGGAAAAGGGGCCAATGTAGACGTAGCCATCCAGAATCTTTGGAGCCAATAAGCCAGATCTCCCTTTGCAGTCTCACTATATGAAGAAACTAAGTGTCAGGATAATGCTCAGGAGGATTACATTAGATTTGCCATTTAAGCACAGGAGGTGTACAGCAGTCTAGTCAATTTCTCATTCAAAGCTTTATTTCATACCTCCTATCAGGGTAGGATGCTTGCTTTAACAATGGGTGCTTACCAACATATCCTTGCTTGTGGGTATTGTGAAATAAAAGTGGCAGTTCACTCCAATTATATATCCATATTTCACACACAACAAAGTTACTGCTTTGAGTCATCTAGTCGTTTTGTACACTAGTCATATCAGTATTTATTTTTGTGAAAATTTTTACCAGTGTTTATAATTCAGCAATAAGAGTTCACTTTGGAATGAAGTTTGGCACAAGAGCTTTAGGCTAGTAGTATTTTTTTTTGGAGAGAAGGGGGAAACTCACATGTACACCAGTAAACTGCTAGTCAAGTATAATGAAATAAAACATTTGATATATGTTCTCATTTTTATAGTAATACAAATTCATCTAGCTAAACATTTTGATTAGCTATCTAGTTTAGTGTTGTTTTTACAGGACCTACTGACTGCCATATTAAGCAAGAACACCTAAAGATTTTCAACGATATACAACAGTCAAGTTACAGTCTGATCAGACTGGTGTGCCACAAGAATTTAGTTACAGAGCATCACCAGGGAGAAGACATTCAATCCTAAAAACTCAATGCCTATAAAAGTTAACATAGCTATTTGACTCACTGTTGGGAACTGGGTTTCATTACCAGCCAAGAAATCTCAGTGAACCGTAAAATTAAAAAAGGCAAAGCCAAGAACAGAAGTAATTGTAGTACTACATCAGGAGCTGTATCTTCCAAATCTGGGGGATCCAGCCAAACACTTCACTTTCTCCAGAGAGAACAAGGGGAGTTTCCATGCCAGCACACGGATTAGTCAGATTTCCAGGAAAGAAATTTGTTTCCTCCAGTCAAAGGGTTAAATTTTGCTCTTTACTTCTGACACCCTGGGCTTGGTAAACTAGGCTACGTCTAGACTGGCATGATTTTCCGCAAATGCTTTTAACGGAAAAGTTTTGCACAATAGCATTAATACTTCTGTTGCTCTGGAAATAGCTTTCCTGATATATATTAGGAGCACATTCGCCTTATTTCAAAACCATTCCACATTAAATCATCCTGTGACTGACCAACAAACTAGGTCTTTCTCCTCCTGTCACTTCTATTGATAAGCCACCAGATATTGAATTTAAAGAAAAACATTTGAATAATTAACTGCATCTATTACCAAATGAATTATAAAATCCTAAAGAAAAAGCCAGAAATGATTAATTTTTATTACCTGGTAATGTCATAGACAAGCAAAGCACCTGCTGCACCTCTGTAGTAACTTCTTGTTACAGACCTGAAAGGGAATTTTAAATTACACAATTATGCTCCCAGAATGCTCTGTCATCTCACATCTGGGTTACCATGATGTGTTCTACACAGGGCTAATTTTCAAACAAATCAGACACTTAAGCTATTAATTAAGCACTTTCTTAAAGGAAGCCCTTTCCCTTGCGTTTTGGATCTGCACGGATTACCGAGTTATTTCCAACTAGATTGTGAACTGTTGGTTTGACCAATGGAGCCCCAAATTCTTTGGGATGTGGCTCCATGGAAGATTGCTCTACTGTAGGGCATTGCCTGTTTAAACTAGGAAACTGTTCATGCACCTCAGATTATCACAATTGCCCTGGAGTGGGACATTCTCAGGAGGCTTCAGCTTTAAAATTAATTTCTCTTACTTTTTGATCTGTCTTGTATGACCTTCAGTGGAGGAATTCCTAAGAGGCTCTTAGTGGCTATAATAATTTACACTGTCTGCAAGGAAACCCAGGTTCTGAATGCTGGCTCAAGCCTAACTTCCTCTGTTGCATACATACAAATAGCACTAACCCAGTTAGGACCCTACAGATCAAGCCCTATTGCTATGCAGGGAAGGCACAGCCCCATCAGACATTGGGGCTGCGTCTAGACTGGCAAGTTTTTCTGCAAAAGCAGCTGCTTTTGCGGAAAAACTTGCCAGCTGTCTGCACCGGCCACTTGAATTTCCGCAAGAACACTGACTTCCTACTGTCTGAAATCAGTGCTTCTTGCGGAAATGCTATGCTGCTCCCGTTCGGGCAAAAGCCCTCTTGCGCAAATGCTTTTGCGCAAGAGGGCCAGTGTAGACAATGCGGTATTGTTTGGCGCAAAAAAGCCCCGATGGCGAAAATGGTGATCGGGGCTTTCTTGTGCAAAACTGCGTCTAGATTGGTAAGGACGCTTTTCCGCAAAAAGTGCTTTTTTCTGCAAAAAGTCTAGACGTAGCCTGGGAGTCTGCCAAAAATATTTCACAATCCCATGGACCAACCTTCTTTGCCCTCTAGACCAAGAGTCAGCAACCTATGGCTCAGATCTAAATATGGCTCTCTAGGGAGCCTGATATGACTCTTTGGGAGCCCAACTCAGTCCCCCTTATTCCTCCTGGAGCAGGAAACCCATGCTGGTGCTACAAATTTATACTCCCCTCACAAGACTGGAGTGTCAGCCAGCTTCCTGAGGTGGGGGGACAGGGGAAGAAAGCCCCAAGGTTCTGCACTGGATCCAGCATGCAGGGAACAAGCAGAGCAAAAAAAGTCAGTCTCCGCTCTGCTCTTTTACTTCCCTCCACATGTGGGAAACAAGCAGCCAAAATGGCTCCATGCACACCACCCTTTTTCGTCCCTTTTGGAAACACTTCCCTGGAGACTTCCCCTGCAAATCCTTCCTGGATGTTACACAGTGCCTGCCACACAGTGTGCAAACAAGTGCGCCCCTCCCCCTCCCCACCCCCCGGACAGACAGCCCCTGCCCCGGGCCAAAATCCCCCAGCATCCTGGCCAGGCACTCCCTGTCCTCAATCCTCCTTATCCTCAGCCCCCTGGCTGGACACCCCCTTCCTGATCCTGCTCCCTGCCCTCTGGCCAGACTTCATAACCCTCACCCTCTCCTACATACCACCTCCTCCTGCCCAGATCCTGCACTCCCATCCCTATCCCATTCACTGATAGCCCTGTCCCACACACTTAACTGTTCATTTTTGGCCCAACCCTGGAACCCCAGAAGAGTATATCTGGCCTGGGGCCTTGAGTGTCAATCGTCCCTGCCCCCACTATGAGGCTGGAGCACCAGGGGAGAGAGGTGTTGTTTCAGGTGGGAGTCACATCAGTGAGGGCAGGAGATTTTTCGAGGATTTTTTTGCTTCTCACTGTGTGGTCCACTATTGATTTTTCTATGGGTCAGTGGCCCTTGGCCCAAAAAAGGTTCCCCACCCTTGCCATAAATCAGGACAATGTTGAAACTGTTGGCCATAATATTTCACTTTAGAATGAAGCCTGGCCAACAAGCCCACAATAGCGACCCAGATCCCATCTGGCCACAGTGTCATAACACTCTTGCACACACCAACCCTGAGTCCATCATACACCTAAATTAGAGATGTAACAGTGTAGTTGCTTAACTGGTAAGTGAAAGCTTATAGGTTAATGTTATAGACTAAACGCATTTCCCTCTCCTCCCTCCCTGCACCAGTAAATTTTTTTAGCAGGCTAGTCAGAAGTCCAGCTCAGTCCTGGCTCATGCTGCAGCCTTGCATTTAAACTGTATTAGGAATGGGGCAGGCAGGCAGCCCAGCTCAGTTCTAACTCATGCCAGGTCCAGGAGCTCAGACCCTCCCTAAGCAGGGGCTGCTGCCACCCCGTGCTGCTGCCTCTATCCAAGGCAGCAGCATTGGGCAATAAGCAGCCAGTCCGTGAGGGGAGCTGGTTTTTAAACTGGTTCCCCTCGTAGGCCAGCTCCTGCCTGACAACCCACGCTGTTGCCCCTGATACAGTGGCTGCTGGCCCCACACCCGGGGACTATAGAATACAGGCAGTCCCTGAGTTACGTGGATCCGACATAAGTCGGATCCACAGTTACGAACGGGGTTTGCTGCCCGTCTCCCTGGTCTGCTGGAGACCAGCAGACCAGGGAGACGGGAAGCAAAGCCGGGGAGCAC